TTTGGGCTCGATTGTGGACATAAATCAAGGACTGCCTGTATGTTATGCCCCTGTCGGAGACTGACTCCAAGGAGGAAGACGAACAGCTGACAGGGAATGGGAGTGTGGCTCCGTTGGCTGTGGAGGAAACTGGGGAAGGGAAAAATCCGGCTGGGCAGAGCAGGATTGAGACCCAGGCCCACCACCCTCTTCATCCTAGGGCATGCAGGGAGGAACGGAGTAGAGAGCAACATGGGTTGTGTGGCTTACGGGGGAGGAAAGGGCCCTGATTCCCTTCATTAGCCACAGCTGGGAATGAGAGTTTAAAAGAAATGCAAGCTGAGAACCAAACGTCATTTTATCTTGTGTTGACTGTGGTTATCTACATTCCTGGCATCCTCCCAACTGTGCTGAATTACAGCTGTTCCTTCACATCTGGAATTCCTTCTCTTGCCCTGCTTTGACTGGACTTATAGTTACAGTTTTTGTTGACTATGTTTTGGGCTTGATTCTCTGCAGCCCAAGGCTGTTCCTGGGAGAGTTTTTCTCCAGCCCAGAAGTTAACCAGGTCATTGGGGGCAAAGTTGGAGCTAATAAAGGGACTCCTACTGATTATCTGACTGTGTTGCCTTTGTGCCATGCCCCGGTCATCACACTGTACTTGAAACATTTTTAGAGGGCCCCCATTAAGAGTTTGGCCTCTTCCTTAACCCTACCGACAAGAAAAAAAAAATCAGAGCTATTCACCCTTCCTGTGTGTAAACACAAGCGTTCCCTGTTACCTTTGGGTATCGTTGCGCACAAATCCTGGAGGGCACTCTTGTATACACTCGTCCTCATGGATCACGAAGCTCTCATATTCCCCAAGTGAATCCGAGGAAGAGATCCGGGAACAGTTCTCCTTGGTAATGCAACGCCAGCCCTCGAACTTGTAGGTGTTGGGTGGACAGGTCGGAACACAGGTGCCATCGTGGTAGTAGTTGCGACAGGCTACGCAGGCCGAGCTGTTGTGGGGTGCGGTGCAGCTGCCCAAGCATTCGGGGTGACAGCATTCGTTCTGGTCCGTGCAAGCATGTTTGCCACAGGAACTGGGACAGGCTGGAAAGAGAGAGGACAGAGTAGCAGGCATGAAAAGACCATCTTCAACTGGAAGGAAGGAAAGAGCAACAATTGACGTGATTGACAATAGAAGTAGCACTTGGACTTATATACTGCTTCACAGTGCTTTATAGCCCTCTCTAAGCGGTTTACAGAGTCAGCATATTCAGGGGTGGACTTCAAAAAGTTTAGCAACAGGTTCTCTGCTTGGTTGGTGGGTGGGCATAGCCATGGTAGGCGTGGCCTAGTTGGCCTCCTGCACCACGGCAGGGGGAGGGCATTTTTGCCCTCCCCGGACTCCGGAGGCTTTCCTTGAGCCTCCAGGAGGGGGAAAACGGCCTCCCCAGTGTCCGGAGGCTCTCGGGAAGCCAGAAACGGGCCCAGTTCCGGCCTTCCTGAACTTCCGGGGAGGCCCATTTTTCACCCTCCCCGAGCCTCCCCGTGAGCCGTGCACTTACCTGCATCCAAAATGGGCCACGTGGGGACACCTCGGAGGGGTAGGCGGGGCCAGCCAGGAGTGTGATTTGGGGATTCTCCGAACTGCACAGAATCTTAGCTAGGGGACACTCCAGAATCCCTGCGAACCCCCTGCGGCCCCCAACAATCTGAGTCATCATTTAACCAATTTCAGAATGATTGAGTCATTCTTGAGCCAGTCAGGATCAAATTCCTGGCAGTAAGCAGAGTCTGCCTGCAGGCAGAAACAGTGAGAGAGAGAGAGATAAGAGACCACTGGCACTTTAGGCTTATATACCACTTCACACTGCTTTACAGCAGGGGTGGGATTCAAATTTTTTAACAACTACTTCTGTGGGTGTGGCTTAGTTGGTGGGCATGGCTTGGTGGTCATGTTATTGGCTGGGCGTGGCCAACTCAGTATCACTCACATTGAGGCACGCATCTCCTCGCTTGGCCTCTCATGACTATGGGGATGCTGCAACAGTCGTAAGTGTTGAAAAATGGTCATAAGTCACTTTTTTCAGTGCCATTCTAACTTTGAATGGTCACTCCACACAAGCAAAGTACCAGCAAGGGAGGGGAAAAATAATTCCAGAGAAGTTCCTGAGACAGGAAGTCTAGTCCTACCAAGAATGTAATAAGGGTTAACGGAGAGGCAGTTTCTGTAAGCAACACCAGAATGTTTCCTTCCTGCCTTCCTTACAGGATTAGCCCAGTAATTTCTTCTAACAACCGGTTCTCCGAACTGCTTAGAATGTTAACAACCAGTTCTAGCGATTAGGTGCGAACTGGTAGAATCCCACCCCTGCTTTACTCTTTAAGTAGTTTACAAGAGTCAGCCTCTTGCCCACAACAATCTGGATCCTCATTTTACCCACCTCAGAAGGCTAGAAGGCTGAGTCAACCTTGAACCAGTCAGGATCGAATTGGGCCTGCAATACTGCATTCTAGCCACTACACCCCCCAAGGCTCTTAAAGTTGGCTAACATTCATCAGTTTCCATTTCCTATCAAAGTTTTCCCAAACCTAGACTTCCAACAAGGTGTAAATGCAAAAGGAACCCAACCATAGGGCTGATTCCCGTGACAAATTCTGGATAAATGGGGAGGGTTAGGAAAAGCAATAGTGAACTACCCTGTGAAAATCTCACCAGAACACTTTTATGGCAATAACTCAACATGTACATAAGACCACGTGTGATTTACTTTGGCCATGTTATGCGTATCAATTCACTGGACGAGGCAATGATAACTGAATGGTTAGTGGAACAAGAATGAGCAAGCAAAGAAGAATTGGGTATGTCTAGTTTACTGAAAAGTAGGACTAGGATTGACATGATAGCGGTGTTCCTATATCTAAGGGGTTGACACAAAGAAGAGAGGGTCAAGCTATTCTCCAAAGCACCCGAGAGAAGGACAAGAAGCAAATGGATGGAAACTAATCAAGGAGAGAAGCAACTTAGAACTAAGGAGACATTTCCTGACAGTGAGAACAATTCACCAGTAGAACAACTTGCCTCCAAAAGTTGTGGGTACTCCAACACTGGAGGTTTTAAAGAAGAGATTGGACAGCCATTTGTCTGAAATGGCATAGGGTCTCCCTACTTGAGCAGGGGTTGGACTAGAAGACCTCCAAGGTCCCTTCCAACTCTGTTATTTGATAAAAGAACATGCTTGCTTGATCACACCAAATCTGATGCAAGTTCAATATCCAACAACTGAATGAAACCGTGCTTGACAAGGTAACATGGAGAATACTTGCCTATAAGATCGGACACAACAGTTAAAACAACAACAAAAGGTAAGTACATTTGAAGATTATGGGATTACAACTGTGTAACCGAAGCACTCTTAATTACAATTTGCTGCATCAATCAAGCTAATTAATGATATAGCCTCTCAACCATTCCTAGAGTGTCCATAATAGTGTTACCATAGAAAATGCAAGATATATCTCAAACAGACAATGTAATAGAGGAAGAAAGTCACATCTAGCTGATAAATCAAGGATAAATGCAACATCTTAATATGATCTTGTGACATATTTGGTAAGAGGTACAAAATAAATCAAGTTATAAATACTGCTAATGGGCAAGCTCAGACAGTCCTTAGGGTAAACAGAGGCTAAGCAACAATATCTTCCAGAACCTGAAAACATACTTTTAATAATCAGTCCAGAATTTAAAACTACTATCCCTTGAAGGTCCATGTTTTAATATTTGGATCCCAATTGATACAGCAACCAAAACTGATAAAAACACATTTGCTTTTATCTCGACACCCAAAAGCAACAAGGACTCCAGCATCTTCCAGGAGCTGCTTGTGTGGTCCTCAAAGAATTTGAACAACTTGGGATAATCTGAGTCACCTCTTCCCCAATCACCCAAATTCCAAGACAGAGAGCCTCTTGGTATGTCCACCTTCAGCTTGTTTTCTCGCTGTCCCCAACTTTCATCTACAAGAATATCTTTGCTACCTTGTCCACTTAAGCCGGGTAATAAAGTCAAAAGGCAGAATTTTTCTAAATAAATGTTTAGTGACTGATCACATCAACTGTGTCTATGCACCCAGGCTTCAGCAGGTCCCAAAGGTGGAACGCCTCACCTGTCCACTCCTCTACCTGACAAGGGAAATGGTGTACTGTCAGATCAAAAGACGTCCATGATGGTGGTGATTTGTTCTCCAGGGTTCCAGTTTAGCTTCTGAATGTTTCGTTACCAAGCTAGGTGACCTCCTCAATGGGACTTCGGTCAAAGCATCTCATTCCAATTCTTCTCCGCTTTTATTGATCTCATATGGTTGATGGGTCGTGTGTCTGGTTGGTGGTGTTGTGTGAAGGCCACCAAGTGAAGACATGGTCAGTTCCATTGTTGGTTGGTCGCTCAATGGATATGGCTCCTGATGGGTTTGTAGGCAGAGTGGCTACCTCCAAAATCTGTGGGACATGCGATGTCAGCCTTGGAAGCCATATTTTATTTGGAATAAGAGTTGGAAGGGACCTTGGAGGTCTTCTAGTCCAGTCCCCTGCTCAAGATGGAGACCCTATACCAGTGGTGGCTAACCTTTTTGGGCTCCTGTGCCAAAAATTGTGCATGCACTTGCACACTCGCGTGCCAGCACCCAGAAGGCAATGCGTGCGTGCCCCACACCTCCTCTGCATGTGCATGCAATCCCCACCCACCCCTGCCATCCCCTAACCTGCACTGTGCCCTGCAGCTAATTTTCGGCCGGTTTGAGGCCTTTTTCAGCCTCCCAGATGTTTGAGGAAGACTTCTGCAGGATGAAAACTAGGCCCGTTTCATCATGTCCGGTATTTCCAGAAAACCAGGAAGTGATGAAACGGGCCTAGTTTTCAGCCTGCAAAGTCTGCAGTAGCCTTCCTCAAGCCTCTGGGAGGCCGAAAAAGGCCTCAAACTGGCCGAAAATCAGCGGTGAGGCACATGCGTGCGCAGTGAGGTAAGTTTGCCTGCTGCTCGCGTGCCGGCACAAATGGCTCTGTGTGCCATAGGTTCGCCATCACGGCCCTATACCATTCTAGAGAAGTGGCTGTCCAGTTTCTTCTTAAAAGACCTCCAGTGATGGAGCAGCCACAAGTTCTTGTGGCAAGCCGTTCCATCGGTTAATTGTCCTCACTGTGAGGAAGTTTCTCCTTCCTTTTAGGTTGCTTCTCTCCATGATTAGCTTCCATCCATCGTTCCTTGTCCTGCTCTCTGGGGCTTTAGAAAACAAGTTGTCCCCCTCTTCTTCCCAGACAGGGTTTCCAGAATTATCTGGAGCAAGTGGCTGGAATAGTGAGCTGGTATTAGATCCGCATCGCAAGAACTCTTTGCTCAGACGCCAGACTCGTTCGCCTCCAGCAAGATGAGCCTCATTCGATGCCTATAAATATTAGAAGTCTCCAAGGCTATTAAGAGATTTCTTCAGTAACACCACAGACAGTAAACCTTGGAAGCAGATGGATGTCTCTTCTCCCCCCAACCCCCAGCACCAAGACCCAAGATTTAGCATGTTAATGAGATTTCCTGTTTACATAAGGATATCAGACAAAGCCATTGCTCTTCTCACTATATCTAGGGAATATTACAGGTTAACGCGTGCATTTTATTAAATAAAAGAATAGGACAGGCCTTTTGAACGATGGATCGCTCCCAAATTCAACAGTAGCCAACTGGCAAGAGAGCATTCGAGCCAGAAAAGGCACAGCTGTATCCCTACGTTTAAGTGGGAATTGGTTCTTTTTCTGGAAAGTCCACAAAGTGGGTCAAATTCATAAATATTTCCAGCGCAAAACCACCTTTCCACCTCCTCCCTCCCCCGAGTTCAAAACAGCGGTGCCAACTTTCAATTAGGCTTCGAATCTGATCAGAAACGTTCTGACATGGCCGCACCCATTCCACCAAAATGCTTCCAAGCATTGGAAATCCTAATGAGGATTAGGACATTTAAGATTGAAACAACCTAATCTAATCAATCAAATCAGAAAGTAATCAAGGAGAGAAGCAGCCCAGAAATAAGGAGAATGTGGTCCAAGCAACACTTCAGAAACGCAGGGCAACCTTTTCCAGTAACCAAGAGCAAGTATTCATTCACCTCCTTAGATGGGCAGGACACTTCAAGGTTAACTACCGTATTTCCCCCGGAAATAAGACCCGGTCTTAGATTAATTTTGGCTCCGAAAGACCCTAACCCGGGGGTGTCAAACTCAGTTTCATTGAGGGCTACATTAGGGTTGTGTTTGACCTTAGGGAGGGTGTGGGTATGGCCAGCTTGACATCACCTGGGGGCACCTGTGGTGGCCCAAGTGCTAAGTGTTAGATCTGGGGTCGATCGGTTCGAAGGAGACGCGAGACCATCTTAGTGAGTTCAGCTCTTTATTTAGAATAGGAATAGTCTGAGAGAGTCAAGCCGCGGCAGCCCTTCATATAGGGCTCGCTGCGGCTCGGCGGCCAATGGCAGCGCTTTGAATCTCCCGCGATCGGCACAGCCAATCGCGGTAGATTCCTAGCGCTCCAATCACGGCCGGGGCTTCGACCAATCCGGTCGTTGTCCATCTGGACCAATCAGTTTCGAGTGGTTTAGGGTTGTTAATTTAGAACACTAAGCCAGCGAAAACGGGCTCCCAAGCTGAGTTTCCGGCTGCAACAACCTCCTGCAACCCACTGCCAGCAAAAATGGAGCTGGGGAGGGGCGCTTATGCCGCCCCTTCCCAAGCTCCGTTTTTGCTGGCAGAGAGGCACCATGGGCCCGTCTCTTGCCTTTTCCAGAGCAACCCTGGAGGCCAGATCTAAGCACCCTTGAGTTTGACACCCCTGGTCTAACCCCTAACCCTAATTTAACAACTACAGTGATTCATTTCACAACCGTGGCCAAGAAAGTTTGTAAAATGGGGCAAAATTCACCTAACAACTGACTAGCTTTTAGCAGTGGGAATTTCAGGCTCTGTTGTGGTCATTCAGTCGAGGGCTGCCTGTCGTTGAGAAAAGCCAGCCTTAATTTGGATTAGCTGGTGGTGCTTTTTCTGCTTCTAAAGCAAAGCGATTAAAGTTTTACAACTTTTTTTTGCCACCGTTGTTAAGTGAATCCCTGTAGTTGTTAAGCCAGAAACATGGTTGTTACTAGCTTCTACTACGGTTTGTTTGTTTATACCCAGCCTAACTTCCAGTAACTGATGGTTTCTTGGCTTGTAAAGAAGGATTAAGGAGCTCCTTCAGAAGCCAAATTCCTATGAATCTCCGAGAATAATACACTACAGGTGGTCCTTGACCTGCAATCCCAACTGGAACCACAACTGGAACCAGGATTTCCCTCGCTACGTAAAGAGGTTGTTAAGCGAGTCGTGCCCAATTTTACAACTTTGCCATTGTTGTTAAGTGAATCACTGCACTAAAATGAATCACGTGGTCCTTGCACGGATCCATTCCACTGAGTTGCCTTGTTGGAAGCTGGCTGGGAAGTTTGCAAATGGCGATTACGCAACCGCTTACGTACATGCTGCAACCATCCTAATTACAGATGGGTTGCCAAATGCCCAAATTTGGATCACGTAACTGTGAGGATGCTGCAATGGTTGTTAAGTGTCAATCACTTTTTTTTTTTCCAGTTGCTGACTTTGAACGCACCAAAGCACCTGAAGGCAAAACAAAAAAAAACAAGGGATGGAAACAAGGAGGGAAACAACCTAGAACTAAGGAGAAAATTCCTAACTGTCAGAACGATTAACCGGTGGAACAGCTTGCCTCCAGAAGTTGTCAGTTCTCCAACACTGGTGGTTTTTAGAGTCAGACTAACAGAGTTGGAAGGGACCTTGTAAGTCATCTAGTCCAACCCCCCCTCCCCCCCCAAGTAGGAGACCCTACACCATTTCTGACAGAGGGCAGTCCAGTCTCTTCTTGAAAGCCTCCAGTGATGAAGCTCCCACAACTTCCGAAGACAACTTCTCTTCCATGGGTTGATTGTTCTCACAGTCAGAAAATCCCTCCTTATTTCCAGGTTGAATCTCTCCCTGATCATTTTCCATCCATTGTTCCTTCTCTGGCCTTAGAAAATAGCTTGACCCCCTCCTCCTCTCTGTGGCAGCCCCTCAAATATTGGAAGACCTCTATCATGTCTCCCCTGGTCCTTCTCTTTACTAGACTAGCCAAGCCCAGTTCCTACAACCGTTCATTGTATGTTTTAGCCTCCACCCCCCTAATCATCCTGGTTGCTCTTCTCTGCATTTTTCTAGAGTCTCAACATCTTTTTTTATAGTGTGGGGACCAAAACTGGATGCAGTACTCCAGTTGTGGCCTTACTAAGGCTTTATAGAGTGGTATTTGTATCTCCCTTGATCCTGATTATATCCCTCTGTTAATATTAGCTTTTTGGGCTGCTGCTGCCCACTGCTGGCTCCTATTTAGCTGGTTGTCCACTAAGATTCCAAGATCCCTCTCACAGTTACTGCTGTGACAGTTAAGCTGCCAGCTTTGGAAGCCATATTTATTGAGTTATTTGTTGGAGTTGGGGTTTTCTGGAACGTTGACATAAGCCTGGTTTCACCCAGTCTATGTGTGTTTTTCTTTGGGGTGTTTTTAAGAAGAGACTGGGCAGCCATTTGTCTGGGGTGGTATGGGAGTCTCATACTTGAGCATGGGGCTGGACTAGAAGACCTCCAAGCTCCCTTCCCACTCAGTGATTCTGTTAAGGGTCACTAAATCAATGTTGTAAGTCAAGGACTATCTTCATATTCTATCCCTCCTCTCATCCCATTTAAATCCTTATTGTATGGCGCACATATTTGTTCAAGTCCAGCGTTGCTAATCCTTCCCTCGGTATGGAAGATGTATGTCATCATGAGAATAAGCCAAATCTTGGAAAAATCTTCTTTCCAAATGTTGCCTTTTCTGTTTATTTAAATAAATAATACTGGTCCATTGGGTTTTAGTTTCTTGGCATCATGTTGAATTCAAATTAAAATTACGAGGAAAAGATAGATAAAAGCAGAGCTGGGATAAGTTGTGTTGTTTTCAGATGTTTACATATTACAACAAGCCTTCCAATTAACCAATTTCACTTTAGCTGAAGTCAACAGGTGGCACACACATTCTGTTTGTACACCGTCTGCTTCTTTGCAATCATAAACTCCCATTCGCCCCTTTTGCAAGTACTAAATTCATAAAAATAGAAAATAGTTAAAATATTCATGCATAAAATCTCATTTGGATTTAACAGACTTTCTGCTGTGAGGGACCCTCCTTCCCTCCATTAGTCCATTAAATTGAGGGTTTTTAGCGAATGTATTTCAATTCCAGATCCAGTTGACACTTGACTAACACAAAATAGATAAATAAAACATTTCCACTCAAGCCGAAAATAAAAACAGCAGTGCATGTGACTGCAAGAGCTTTGTGCAAAAAAATGCCTCATATAAAGTTTAAAAAAATCATACTAGGATATCCATAACCTGGCAGATGTTGCTTGGCCCACGCTGTTCCTAAAAATAATATTTCCATCAAAATTTCAGAGGAGAAAAAAAAGCAGTTTCTTATTTGCCTCTAACCTGCCATACTTAAACTTTTTAGGAAGAAGAGGTAAGGATCAAATGAGGATTGCAAGAAAGGATAAATCCATAAAAGACACTGAAAATCTACTTTTTATCATTTTTTCCCCACTCCCATTAAAAATATTAGAACCGTTTTTCCTGCAACTTCAAAAACTAGCTCACCAGTTTGAAATAAACTGGGAACAAACTCTTTCTGGTTTAATTCACCCACATAGAAGATCCACACTTCCTTGCCACAAACCACAACAAGTTCACATTTGGGAGGGGTGTTGTTTTCTGGAGGGAGGTGGGAATCTGGAAAGAACAATGCCATTTTTATTTCATGCGAGAGGCCGGTGTGCCCAAGGACACACACTAAATCACACACTCGATTTATTTGGGGTGGTGTTTCTCGTTGGTTGGTTTGTTTTGATATATTTTTTTTAAAGTAGGCATAAAA